ATGTTCGGTTAAGTGTATCTGCTCAGTTGCTTCCTTTATTAACTGCGCTGGTATATCCTGTCAGTTAACGTTGCACCCGATTATTAAATAAATAAACTTCCGTTCCAGAATTAATTAATTATTCGATATGCGCGATGATTTCATTATTTACTTATGTTTTACCTTATTTTCGATTTCGGAGCGAACGCGCGGTATATGTCGGTAAAATTGGCGTTAAAATTAACGTTAAAATCCTTCGACTTTCTTTTCATTCTATCGATGTAGAACTTGTTTAGAAAAACATCATTTAACGCAGGATATTTGTCCTTTTGTCAAGTAATTTTCCCCAAGTTTTTTGTTCGCTTCGAATAAAATATTCGTATTGATTAGATTCGCGAAAGTCTGGCCGGGACATCGAAAAATTCATCCGAACCGCTGGACAAATATGTAATATTCAAGGTAGATATTACATATTTATACGCTGTATGCTTTATGGAAATGCGAGAACGCGTTCCCCGTGAAAGTTTCTTCTGGAAGCGTACGCTTTTGGCAGGAACACGTTGCACGGAATACATTTCACGATACGTGGCACAAATCGGCTAACAACGAGTGTACGATATCGCGTAGGATAATATTATTTTTTACCGCGTTAATGTCAGTAGTTGTTTGTAGAGGGCAATCTGTTGATTTTGCAATTTCATATTCGGCGAAGGAGCGTAAACGAATTCGACGACTTCGTAACGCGGCAAGCAATTTATAATTATTTGAAAGTCAAATCTTGACGAACGACTCGAATACTTCCGACGAATCGTATTAACATTCAAGGACGTGCCTTCGAATTTCAGCACGGATCATCGTTCAAAAATATTCTAATCCTTTATTTGAAAACAAACTGTCCTTCGGTGAACATGAAACAATTTTTATGTTAATTCCTCTTTGAATAATATTTCGTTGGATCAAATTGATTATAATATTGAAATTCTTTCGTTGAATAATTCAAAATCTAATAGAGACCACCATATATAGTTAGGGCCAAAGTTACATGAATTATTGAAGATATTCAAAATTTCTCTTCTAATTCAACGTTTTCGTTCGCTATTTCAATTTAACGTTATGTACTAAATAAACGATGAAATAACTGTAACGAATAGAAAAGTATATTTTCAGATCCATTCTGGAATTATTTCACGTCCGTTCTGCGTACAAAAAATTCCTATTCATCCAAGACCCATTTTCATATATATATATATATATAGACATACTTTGTCGAGTACTTTCCTACACGGATTTATCTTTTGTACGAAAAAATAGCGTTAGAGAAGCGATCTTTGCGTAGGTCTGCCACTTCTCTTTCCCATTTCTTTTTTTTTCTTTTTTTTATAAAAGGACGTTCTCTGGTAGAAACGATCCAGCACGGTGAGCTTTCGCTTTCATAGAGAAACGTTCCACGCAGAAATGGTTCTTCATGGTTCCTTCCCTTTTATAGAGAGCCACTCTCACGGAAACGATCCGCAGAGTTCGTCCTTTTTTATAAGTATATACATAGAGACACGTATGCATAGAAAGGTTGGCGTTTATTTTCCATAACAAATCCTCTATCGAGCTCCGCATAAAAATACGATATTAAACGCGTCGGTTATTAGAGCTAAAAGTTTTTATTGTCAACGCGTAAATTACGTTATTCGCGCCAAAGTTGTACAGATTTAAGTAGTATTCGTATTTTAAATAAATCTTAGTCGATGAAACAGCTCTTCTAGTTACCCTAACTTTTTTTCTTATTTCGTCTGTTTGTCTGGAAAAGTCGAGTCTCGTTAGTGCTCATAAAATTTTCTTTTTTCTCCCTCTAGCGTTATGAAACGTTCTCGAATTTTCAGTCTGTCGAGGAAACGTAAATCGGTGTTTTTCTTGTGTTCGATCGGTTAATTGAAATTCATTCGGTGGCTCGTTGCGCATGGACAATAGAAGCGCTGTCGGAAACTTTCGGCCTCGAGCATTCGCGTTCGATTCGTGGATTTTTGAACACGGAGGGTATACATTACGAGCGAATACGCGCGATACGGCCTTGCAAAATATTGTTCGCGTTTGGAGGCTGCTCATTACCCACCTTCCAAACTTTCAACCGTTAAAGCGCGTAACATAAATTGAACTGTTTAACACCGTTATAATCGAAATCCACTCGTTTCGCGTTTATACTCCGAAAAAGAATCGTACTTTGTAATATTCGGTCGAATTTACCGTCAAACAGCTTTTCCACCATTCTATTTTTTTTTTTTGAATCGGTATCGTTTCGAATATTTGAAAAATCTTTGGCAAAACCGAAAAAGCCGCGTAACCGAAAGGTGAAATAACGTAACGAGAGGAATTAAGATGGAAAAAGGAGAAGTTGGACGTTTTATTGCTCGCAAGGGCAAGTGCCTATGACGAGAAAATTATGGCAAAGGAAAAAGTGAAAGTTCGATGGTACGCGAGAAGAAGAGGCGTTCCTTTCGAACAGAACACTGGACGCGTTACGATCGTGTAACACTTCCGTATACTCGATTGCAAAATACCTGCTAGTAGATCCAAACGATTCAGTCCGAAGGACGAGCCTTTCGTGATACGTGCCATCGAATTATTTGTTCCACTGCCCAGATACGCCAACTTATTTGTAACGATACTTTAAAATCGAATTAGTACGCGAATGATCTACTAATTGCTTATTACAGCGACTGGATGTTGTCTAAAAAAAAAAAATCTGCGATAATTTGAAAATTTACAGCTCGAAATGAAAATTTGATGCTTAACGAGTTCGTATAAATAATTAATTGCGCTGTTCCATATGAATTCGTATAAATTCGAGCGATTTTAACAAGCGGACGATCGCGACTCGAGTTATACGGAATATTATTCTATGCAAGAAATCCTCGTATCGAGAACCCTTGTCATTATGTTACGGACTGTTGAGCACTAATGAGCGCTCTACACACCGAGCACCATTCGAGTCGTTATAATTATTCCAATCAACCGTAAACCAAAAAAAGGAACGCAGATATTTCAAGCAGAATGGATTCTCAATTATCGTTGCAATAAATGCCGGCCAATTCATTATCGCTTCTATCTCTGTGAATCTGTTTCATATTTTCTCTGCATCAAATTTCTACGAACGTGAAAGGAAGAAGATCCGCTTTCAACGTTTTCATTTCTTTTTAGATCGACGTTGCGATGAAAAATACCTGCGATAAAAAATACGTTGCTCGTTTTGAAAAACGAATCGACTCGTATGATCGAAACGCTGTTAAGTTAGAAGCGAGGCGAGCGAGTAGGACGTCGTTCGACGAGCTCGCGAGCGAGAGGCGAATCGCTCTTCCGAGGTTTTCACCGATACCTTAGAAAGTGTCATAGTGGGAGGGCAGCAGGCCTTGAAAATCGCAATCAACAGGACCGACGTCGCGTTCGAAAGGTGTCACGGACGTGATAAGTCTCGAATTTTTAATGTAATTCCTGGAAGACTAATCGATGGAAACTGATATCTGGAATCTTGCAATCTCTTTAACGGTTCAGCCCACCTAAGGTATCATTTATCGTTGAATACTAAGATTTAAAAACGTTCGAAAGCTGCAAATTGATAGAATATGTTATATTTGCAAAAAAAAACTACGGTGTCGATCGTGGTTAGCTCGTAAATCTTGTACAATTATTGTCGCGACAAACGCGTCGACAGAAAATATCTAAGCTCGTCTCGATTCGTCGTTCGCCAATTAACGATTCATCGGTTGAATTGGAACGCGGCTCGATATTAACCGAACGGTGTCGCAACCACTGGAAATCGATGGGTCCCTTTTTTTGAAATGGAATAAAAAATTGTTGCCACTTGGAGAGCTTTATTAAAAACCGTCAAGAGGTCAAGAAAATATCACGTGATCGAGCTTCTACGTATCGGCGACAAGCGGAAATTTATTGGCGATATTTCTCTCTCTCGGAAGTATCGACCCTCGTTTCCATCCACCGGGAAACGTTCTTCCGCTCCTCGCACCCTTTCCTGTCATTTCAACTTTCCTCTTCTTCTCTCTTCCTCTCTCTCTCTCCCTCTTTCTGTTTTCCTCTTTTTTCTCTGTGTCTCCATCCTCTTTCGCTCGCTCGCGCTTTGCTTTTTCCCTCAAACTGATTTATTCCCGACGCTATTCTTCCTTTATCGAACGGTTCGAACGTTCGACGTTACTCTGTACGGTCGCTGCAGTAATTAGCCTTGTTTCGCGTCGCTTAATTACCCTGGAAAAGCACGAGACGCGTTCCTAGAGAATAGCCAACGAGAAAAGTAGGTCGTTGTTGCGGAGGAAGGGAGAAAAAAGAGCGAGACAGCGGTGACTCGGGGAAACCCGATGCAAGTTCACGGCCATGCTTTAAGTCCAAAGTACGTTGTCGCGTTTCATTTAAATATCGCGTTACTAATAGGGCTGGAAATCGGCAAAAACAAAAGCCTAGTAGTAGCAGAAATAAAGCTCAGGATGTCGAAAGTGAGAAATCCGGCGTTAAGAGCGATCAGCACACGCGCGGATGCCGGAAAGCACTCAGGGCTCCTGATCGCTGACCTAATCTGTCGACGATGTAACCTAATACTGACCCTAATTTAATCTAACTCTGATTTAATCTTACGTCAACGTAATCTACAGCCTTGACCTAACTGAACGTCTTAATTCTGATCTAACCTTATCTAACCATGCTGAGGTAGCCTAACCTCTTGCTTAAATCAATTCCGATCTGATCTAACCCGGTCCGAGGCCAGATTGTCGAAAAGCGAAGTACGATATTGTCTCTGCTCAACGAGCACACTTGAAATTGTTAAGACGAGTTCTCGTCGAGTTCAAAAGAATTACGATTCCAGCGTGTCGTGGAAAGCCATTCTCGTAATATTATAGTTTTATTTAATAAGAAATCGTGCACATTCTTCGATGGCAGATAATCGTGTCATAGGTTGCGACCTCTGTTCAATGATTCGCTCGCAACGCGATGCACCGGCTAGCAAGCATAAACACGCGCGATTTGTCCGCGCAGCGCTCAGTGGCGATCTTACCGCTAATCGTTGCGCACCATACGCGAAAGCTCGACCTCCGAGATGTCTCGATCCTACGTATCGTGCCTATCGATCATCCTGTTGTCCCTGACGATCGCAAGGTCGGAGGATGGGGCAACGTGCCAACAAATAAGCGGTTACTCGGTGTGCCATCGCAAAGGAACCTTAGTGGACGTCTCTCAGCGAGAGTTCGAGGACAGACTCGAAATCCACGACCTGAACCTGTTGGCCATTCGAGAGAACGCCTTCAAGAACTTGACCACCACCCGACTGAGTCTCGGTCTGGGCAATAAGATCTCCGTAGCCAAACGCGAGTCGTTTCGCGGCCTGGACAAGTTGGAACGACTAGATCTGGACAGTAACGCGTTACCTTTGTCCCCGAATCTGTTCGCCGAACTTGGACAACTTCGCTCGTTGTCTCTCATCTTCAACAAGATCAACGATATACCCAAAGACTCGTTCGCCGGTCTATCGAACCTGATGTGGTTGTATCTGGGCCACAACGACATCCAATCGATCGACAAAAACTCCTTCTCGGGGTTATCGTCGTCTCTATTATTCCTCTGGTTGAACGACAACAAAATCGCGAACGTGGAGGCTGGCACTTTCGGTCAGATGCCGGAACTGAGTCGTCTTCATTTGGAAAACAATCAGCTGACCGCCATTCAACCTGGCACCTTCCGAGGACTTCCCAAATTGGACGGTCTGTTCCTCGATCAAAATCGGCTGAGCAGCATTTCGAAGAACGATTTCAAAGGCCTGATAGGACTGAGGATTTTGTACCTACAGTCCAATCAGATTTCTAACATCGAGTTCGGAGCTTTCTCGGACTTGGAACAGTTGGAGCAACTGGACCTGAGAAAGAATCGATTGTCCAAGATCGACGCAGGGATATTCAACAGATTAACGAATCTGAAGAAACTCGACCTGTCCGACAATTTGATCGCTACCGTGCAACCGGGTTCGTTCACTGGACTATCCGCGTTAAAGACTCTGAATCTAGCGAATAACAAGTTGACTAAAGTCGATAGGAAGGACTTTGGACTGACGTCTTTGACGACGCTGTACACGTAAGGGTATTGTAATGTCTTATAGGAGTGTTCGATGTGGAGCGAACACGAGAGAATGTACAGTCGCGACAAACAATCGTGAATCCTCTGGAAGTTTGAATTATTTGTGAAATACGTTTCGTTTCGTCTGCATCCAGCAGGAAGATGGAACGAGCAATCTAGCGAAGCTTCAAGATTTTATCACCTATTCCGTTTTATTCTTTAAGATTCCTAATTTTGTTAGATGGACGATTACGAATTAAACGAAATGCGATTCGAAACTTTTTATGATTCATTCACCACTGTCCGTTATTTCGATATCAGCTATGTAGGATGGAAGGCTAAGAATTAAACGAAGTTTTACGATTCGGAAGTTGTCGCCATTCGTCCGTGTCCGTATATTGTTTTTTCATCTTTGCGTTTCGACACAAATTATAAATCGTCGTGTTCTATCTCGACACGCTCTATATCAATGCGCTCTGAATCGTCACGTTGCAGTATATCAGCGTTCCGTGTGTCATTGCGTTCTAAATCTTCACGCTCTAAGTCATAGCGTTTTATTATACGCACTGTGCATCGTTGCACTTTATATCTTGGTACTCCTCGGCTTTGTGCCGTCGCTTTGCAGAACGAAGAAAAAGAAAATTTAAAATTTGACCCTCCAGTTTTGAGAGAATCTATACGTCTAACGTCGAGTATTTAAAGCTACACTTTCACCGTGACTCGTGCCGATCGAACAGTTACGCCTTCGATGCGAGTCCTTGTAATAAATATCGAGTCTCGTGCTCTAAGGATGGCATGTCGCAGAAAGCTCGTTCACCGTTCGGATACGAATTTTTCTTTTTTCTCCTTTCCGTGAGATCGTTTCTTAATTCTGACCGCGATTCCTCGAGCGAGAAAGCAGAGAGAGCAGCGCGCGTGTGATTTCCTGAAATGATTTTTTCTTCCCTTTTCTTTCCTGGATACTCCGCGTGCGTTTTTGAGTCTAAAGAGCAGCGTAAGGAAGATCAGACGGCAGCGTTCCTTTGAAGTTCTCTTAAGCATTCCTTGTTCAACGCGCGAAACACCTTCTGCTTTTGCAAACCTTCTGCCATGCTCTTATTTTTCCTTTCGCTTTTATTTTTGTAGAACGGTTATTACTCGCGGAAGTTCGTTTAACGAAATGACTGTCAGTGTGTAATCTTTCAAACGCGTACTTGATTCACTTTTTCCTCTTGGCATTTTAATTTATCTGTAACTTTTATGTTTTTAAATACTGTGTCTCGATTTTAATTCCACGAGTGCTTTTTCTTTTCCGGTTCTCGCGACGTTTCTATTAATTATAATCGCCGAACGTTTCGGGTCTATCAAAATTTATTGTATTTTTGTAAAACTTTAAATGGCGTGGGTGACTAACGTGTTCCAAAAAGATTTCTAAATTATTTACCGTTTCTTACATTTTCAAAATTAGTACGGAGTTATTGGGCGAAAATATCGTCGAGACAAAATGAGAAGTTAAAATTGGAAAGTTGTACATCGACGATGGAACAAGCTTACAACTAACGAGATGCAATGAAAGCATTTTCTGCAATTTATTTCTGGCTAACATCGTGTGCATTTATAACGTTGGCTGACTCGCGCGTTGTAGATACGCGCTCTCGTTGTTTACCGATAACAGAAACTTGCATTTATCTAACGTCAGCAACAAAGATTAACCAAAGCACGGCGCCATTCTATGCAAAGGTTTTACGAAAACGCCACGCTAAAGAGGTTAGAGTATTACCATCTTCCTTTGATCGATAAATAGCAAATATTCCGTATCGCGAAACTTCGTACGATTATGATGTTTCGATGAAATTTAGGAACTCGAAAATTTTGGCGATTGGAACGTTTTGGAGCTGGAGAATGTTGGAATTTGGAAATTTATAAATTCGTAAGCTGTATGGTAATTTATATATTTTTGAAGCGTCCTGTAGACGCTGTTACAGGAAAGCAGATACTTGTGCGAGTCTCTCGGTATCCAGCACCGGGGACACTCTGAGCTTGATTTACAGCGGTGGTTCGCGAGCGATGCATTCAAATGTTATTCGCTGCTCTAAAACGTGACTGGAACTCCGAATATCGACATGCATTAGAACGTTTGAAAAGCGTAAAATTATGTTAGAACGAGGCGTGAATGCGGCGTCGATGCTCCCGATCGAGCTTTAAATTGTTTAACATTCGTTTGTTCGCAACTCCGTAAACGATATTAGCGAACGTTAAGTAGTCGAGCGTTTTCTTTTTCGACAGCAAAACTTTAGCACCGTAATCCCATCGTTTAATCGAAAGAAAGATAAAACCGGTCAAACAATATGATCTGTTCTCGCCTATAAAAAGAACGCGATACTAGAGTTCTATTCCTGAATTATCAAGAACAGTGAAGGAATGGTCGAGTGAAATTTGTTAGCAGAGAAAATAATAGTTACACGGTTTCATTATCCGCGTTGTCTCTGAACCGCTTAGTCGACTATTACGTGCACTCTACGATTTATTAGAGGCGATCGTTGCAGCTGGATTCAGTCAAGTCGAGCCAATTAAATCGAACTTCTGCCGTTGGAGGATCGTGTCGATACCGTGAAAGAGATCCTTTTTTCGTTACTCTAAAACAGCATCCAGATCAACGATTTGTAGGAAGAAAAAGGAATAGACCGATAGAAATCGTTGAACCGACATTTGAACCCGGATCTTTCGTTTGCCGTAGAATCGGCCAGACCAATTAAGTCATCCAGACTCGTCTATAGGTTCTTTTTGTATCAATTTAGTGTTCGATCACGGCTGCCATTTACAGCCAACGAGTCAGAACGGTGAAAGCAAAGCTGCCGCGATTTTTCTGCAGAATCGTTAGTTAATCCGTTAAGACTTCGAACTTCGAAATCGAAAAGTTTTTGAAAGACGAGAAGTTCCCTGCATTCGATTACTCCCTGCGACGATTAAACGCGAGAAAGTTATCGTTCGGAAAAAAGAAGATACTCGTATAGTTTCGTTGAAAATTGGCTCGGACTAGAGGGTATGTACGGTTAGGGCCAGTTATCGGAATTATCTTGTAAGATGTTACGGAAGCGTAGCCACGTGGCCGGACAATAAAAGGTGAAAAATTACGGCGCAATCTCTGCAACGGATACGTGTAGGTGGTTTATACACGCCGGTTTCCTAGCAGGTAACACGATGATGGATGTAAAAGGGCAAGCGTTACCGTGCTGCGAGAAGTCGAGGCTCACCGCAAATTAGAAAATAAAAAAAAGCTGGGAAAACAGCATGAAACGAAAGCTGGCTTTTATTTCTCGATTCCGTTTCTCTCTTTTTTTTCCCTGTTGCTTTTATTTGAACCGGCGTGTCTCCTTTGTGCAACGATGAACATTCATTTCAGAAACAGGGAATAATATAAAAAGCGAGGCAAAGCGAACTTCTTCTTTAACCGTCACCACTGAATATGCAACTGTTGCCCCGGTCGTCTGTTTGAATAATTCGCGACTTCTTTCTTTCTCTCTCTTTTTCTTCGCCGTTCTGCGACGTTATTACGATTCACAGACGTTTATTCTGTCTAGCTGAATCGATGAAAGAAGAGAAGGGTGAATAGAAAACGGCGGTTTGTTGAAATTTCCATCGTACGGGTGAATGGAGTCTGATGAACGTTGCGCGTAGTTGTATAAGAGAGTGTTTAGAGAGGATTCAAGATGGCTTAGGACAGTCCTGACCTCGGTTACTCTTCGACAATTTACAATTTAACCCTTTGAATGCGACTCACTCGAAAACAATACGCATTATTTGCATCGTCACGCGTCGCATCGCTCTTTTGCCGCGAAAGCTTCTGTTACTCGCGAGAGCGCCGCGATTTTACACAATTATTACCTCGACGAGTCTTTCCACGAACGCGATCTATTCGTTTTAAACGATGTTCGTGACGCTCGAACGCCCGACCGAGCAAAAAAAAGGAAAAGAGTAATCCATGAATTCGCTCGACGATTCGTTCGCTATTTACACTTTCGTTCTACGCGACTTATTTCGTCGAAGAACGAAGCTTTTCTTTTTGCTCCGAGCACGCGGGAAAGGATCACGAAACCCATTGACAAGATTATATTCGATTCCATTAGAGGCGCAATCAATTCAACGCGAACAATTTTCCGCTACTTCGACTTTGTAATGTCTCGAACTCGATTCTACGGCATCGTAGAAGCTTCGCGTATCGAAAAGTAACATCCACGAAGATAGCATCGACTACTTACAAAGTAGTATCGCGTTCAATTTAGTAGCATAAAATGGAAGATTAAAATTGCGTCGTCGTCGATGAAATCCATGATTTCACAGTTAATTTAAAAATACGAATACGAGATCAACTTTTTTAGCGTACTTGTAATCGTGAAAAGATACCATCGAATTAAATAGCGTACCCTAAAAGTTTCTTCTCTCGAACCTTTTTTCGTCGCGAATTTGTATTCACCGGCGCGACGGGAGTCCCATTTGTTAAGTTTAGGGATAGAATTCTGGCAAGTCGATTATCCTTGACGCGAATATCGATATTCCATCAGTTTCGGGAAATTGATGTTCCATCGAGCAAAGGGTGATGCTCGTTAACAAAACGCGTACCAACACCGGACGCGTAAGAACTATCGATTATCGGAAACCAAGAAACGACCGAACGTTTGAAAAAGCTGAATAAACGCGCTCGTAAATAGCTAGCTGTATAATAGCTAATGACAGCTCGCCTACTTTACACCGAGTAGATGAAGTAATTGTCGTAGGAGATCGAGAGGGTAGAAGGTCCTCGTATATCATTGCTCTCGATTCGATCTGCTTGATATTAGAAACGACGAGCTCGAACCTGATTGAATACGAATAGAAAACAGGCTATGATTTAATCGCGTCGCCGTGTCTGTATCTGTTTGTCGCGCGTTTCCCACGATGGTCTTATTTTTCCTCTTCGTATTAATGCATTTTGCTTTCGCTCATGGTCCAAATTTCAAGGTCGTTTTTTAGCTAGTCTGCTCGTGCGGACAATACGGTTACCTTTTTCTGCGGTATTACGTAAGAATGCTAAAGCGGTACTATTGTCCAGAACAGTAAGCTGACTAAAGACGAAGCAAATTTATGACCACGGGTGTGTTTTGAAGTGGCAAAAATTTCTTCCGAGATTACATGAACGTCAATGATTCGAGACTTCGGAGTCGATGCAACCGAGATCATTACAACCGGTGTCCCATTTAAATACACAAAGAGTTTGTTTTTACTTCGAAGACAAAGAAAAATATACAAAGAAGCATCGCTT